TCCCCACCTCCGCCTTGAGGATGACCGTCCTGTTGCCCATCCCGGCACCTATCATCCTAGCACACTCGGCAAAGTGAGAGCGCGATTTATACAACCGTTCGATAGCCCTAAAGCACAACTATGTCCATCACCTCAGTAGTGGCCATCACCTCTCAATATCATCACCAGCAGATCGGAGATACAACACACACTGACGTAGATAGCAAATATCATCAGTTCCCTTTGCCAAACCCTCCCCTGCCTCCTCCTTCAGTGACACCACTACGAGGTAGTCTATATACTCCTTGAGTCGCGAGCATCTACCTGCTCATAAGACAGGCCTCGAGAACTCCTCCAATCTTCACCTACTGTTAATCTCCTGAAGTGCATCATCGAGATCATCCGCTCTCCTACGCTTATCCGGATCGCCTAATACCTACTACCCAACAACTGACAGAAAACCACTCAGCATGTAGACGAACCTCCTTCGTGTTAAGACCAGCACCTGGCCAGTCGGCGGACACCGAGTGGTAGAGGCGTATGCCGTGGACGAGGCTGATGAGCTCTCGGATATGGCATACCTTAAAAACGTAAAGTGCGCGGGTAGAACCGGCGCCATCCGGATGCAAGCACACGCCCTTATCCACTACAGCAAACAACCACAAGGAATAATATTACTTTCTCGTTGTCCCCCAAAGAGCAGAAGGATTGTGTAGAAGTTCGAGGCATAACCGAGTGCAACGCCGGTCCAACCTCCCGACGGATCTGGAACACCACTGACACGTAAACATGACAGTACACCTCTATGACCTCCGACTCCTCAGCCTTCCCCGAATCCATTCTAGCTATTGTTAGTAGTAGACTGTAGATCAGATTATATCTGAGCACACATCGCCTCACCTCTGATGATGATACCACAGTCACTACACTTCATTGTAAGCATGAACATCCAATTTACCCTCCACCTCCGAGATTCGACCCATGAGTCGCCGTATAATACAAGACACTGTCTCAGCCCGTTGGGCGTCACGACTAAGCGACGCCCGTTCGGAAGAGCAGTGTGTTATTGGTTATTACGCCGCAGCAACGTTTTCGATGTGATTGAACATGTCACGGAAGTTTGCCTGGAGCCTCATCGTCTCGAGGGAGGGGTTTCTATCTCGGGCCATCAGTGCCACTGCCTGACACGACATCCAACATGTCCTCTACGAATGGTCAATGCACTCTTTACTATGTACTACCCCTCTACTACTACCCATCTACTACTACTACTACCCCTCTACTACTACTACCCCTCTACTACTACCCCTCTACTACTACCCCTCTACTACTACCCATCTACTACTACCCCTCTACTACTACTACCCATCTACTACTACTACCCCTCTACTACTACTACCCCTCTACTACTACCCATCTACTACTACTACCCCTCTACTACTACTACCCCTCTACTACCCTTTCCACCACCGTCCCCACATCTGCCTCCTCTACCCCATTATCAGCATAGCATACCTAAGCAGTGCTTAGTAAGCACACCCTCAAATGGCGTATCCCCCACCCCCCCACCGACCTCATCATCCTTCCACACAGTAGCCAGGACATAATCACAAAGTCGTTTAGTACAGAGCACACCACTCTGTCGGCATTCCAGCAGAGTCCTCTGCCCGACGTCTTCGAGGGATACTACTACCATCTATATTCAATAACTGTTGAGGATATTTCTGTGCTACAAACTGCTACTACCAAAGTCATATCGCTGGGAAGAAGATCCTCCAACAAGTTCTTCAAACCTGTTTAACCTCATGAAAAAATATTGTTGGGGAACACTACAGACTCTGTATGCACAAAGTCGTGGAAATCTTGCTCACTCGAGGATTTCCTCAACCCGTGCATGCGTGCAACAACTCTCCTGAGTTCTAAGAGTGCTCCAAAGATCGAGTTATACGTCATGTGATATCTACTCCAGGGTGTTGGGAAGGTGTGTGCAGCCAGCCCCCGATTGCTCACAAACCTCCTCCTTGGTAACAATATCTTGCTACTTTATCATCATTACTAAAGTGGAGCACGTATTGCCCAGTGACGCAGAAGTCAGGGGATGTTCCTAAGGCCGCTGCTGCTGCTGTCAGGATCACGAGTTTTAACGCCGTCAATTCAAGCCTGGGGAAAGTGTCTTTGAACAGCTCATGAGGGATTTATCGAGCACGTCGCAAGGTTCCATAGGATGATATAACGGTGATAATACTATTATCACTATTAATGGAATTTCACCCTAGTGATATGAAAAACGACTACTGCATATCACCGCGAATATCGCGCCACTTCACGTGAAACTCCAATATATGACTATTATATGTGGGTAGTATCATTACGTAGTGTATCAACCTGTCTATGAGTAGTAGTGGTAATCCACTAAAGCGATCAACACTACAACTACTATTAAAGGCGTTTTATCCTACAGTAGGTTAGAATATTCTCCCTTCCTGTTACGATGTCCAATCTACCACCGATCGTTTGTGATACCGGATCAAGGTGAGGCCTCCTAGGGTGAGATACGACATATGATGAGGTCTCCTTTCCCAGTATGATTAAATGCGGCCTATGCACTTCCGAGACCCCCAGTGTCCAGCTACCCGCTGCTGTAGCTCGACGCACTTTGGGGTACGACCACCCTCCTACCCCCTCGAGTAGTTCTCCTCAGAATCGACGGACTGTTCTTCGATGCTGAGGAAAGTGACGATGAGGAGAATTTCAACAACACCAACACCACTACTAGGAAGCGGCAGTTGAACCACTCAGTGAGTCCCCCACTCAAGAGGGAGGTGACGTCGCTGGTCCCTCAGCCCTCAGCCTCCTCGGCTTCCACGGCCTTTCGAGGCTCAACTTTGGTCGGTTACGAGGCCTTGGCTGCAGCTGATCAATCTGGGGTTAATGCCAATTACCCTCTTATTAACGGTATTGTCACCGACTGGGAGGACATGCTCCTAGTGTGGGACTACGCTTTCAAAGAGCTCGTCCAGGGAGGACACCGACGGGCATCATCATCGAAGCGGATGAAGCTGGAGGGTAGTAATATTCAATCTAAGTATAGTATAATAATGTAAAAATGGCATTTATAGATATATATAACATTATTAGTAATATTGTTATTCCCAATGTATATGAAGGTTTGCGATTGAGCGTAGTAGGAGTGTGTGCTCAGAGGGCAGGCCGGTTCCTATGTGTGTTGGTGAGGATGCCGAGGAGTGGTTGGAGGAGTTGAAGGGTCGGAAAATTGTCCAAACGGAAGCCGCGTGTAACCCTACCCAAAATCGAGAGAGGATCCTTACTGAGATGTTCGAACGGTAAAGTGGTATCTTTTCATCCGTGTGCACCACGATTGAACCTAAGATATTCTTTCGAGTGCGTCAACGTCTCAGTTCAGGCCGTCTTGTCCCTCCTAGCAACTGTAAGTGCATTCGAACACACTCTTATGAAGTACCCCCTCCCCCTAGGGCCAGCGGATCGGCATGGTCGTCGACTCGGGTGATGGTGTAACCCACGTAGTCCCAGTCTACGAAGGCTTCGTGTTGCAACCGTGTGTGAAAAGGATGGCAATAGCAGGAAGGACCATAACGCGGTAAAGAGGGGCATCACCGGGGGCTGTTGGTGGTTATGCTTGGGTTCTTCCCCTCAGCCAGTTGGCTTATCTCGTTACGCACACTTCGGGGAATCGTGTCAAGGGGTTAAAGCATCTCAATACGGTGAGGGGGGAATTTCGTATTTTTCAACCGTTCGCTTTCCTCAGCCGAGTTTGGGAATTTGATCATTTACTAGAGAAATTTACACACGAGCACGTGTGTACGGAAACTATTAAAAATTTCCGAAAATTCACTCAGAAATTCCTCATCATCCCCACACGCGAATGAGCGTGTAAAGAAATTATGAAAAATTTTTGAGAATTTTCGAAAATTTTCTCAGATTTTTCTCGTGCCCACACACTAATAATACCATACGAAAAATTAATAGTAATTTTTGAAAATTCATCCGGAAATTTTCCGCGGTGTAATTATCGTACAACCTGCAGATGCGTGAATGGAAAGAAGACCACTGCTTCGTCTCTGAGGACCCCTCTAGTAGTAAAGCTGAGGCCAGGAAAAATAAGGTTAGAATTCAGATATTCGCGAATTTGGGTTATTGATTCTCATTCAGCTCAACCGTTTCGTCCACTTACCCGACGGCACTGAAGTGGCCATCGGTGCGGAGCGGTATCTTGCTCCAGAAATTCTATTCACGCCGGCATATGCTGTTGATGAAGTGTTCAAGGACCAACCGGGGCTGCAAGGGACGCTGATAGAGGCGGTAGGGCGGTGTTTATGTATAGGTATGTGCTATACTACAACCATATATGAATATTGATATGTTGACATATTTACGGTATATATAATTGTTATTTTATGGGTTGTTGTAGACAGTGCACTTATTTGGTGGCAATATGAAAATTCGGGTGGAATTCCCATTATCCGTGAGAAAACTTCTGAGCTCAGCTGAACATATATACCACCAACGCTAATTACAGATCGACTCGTCGCCACTGGACATCCGAGAATCGCTACAGCAGTCAGTACTGCTATCTGGTGGCAACACCCTACTAGAAGGATTCGGTCGTCGCTTGAAGGGTGAGCTCAGCAAGGTGTA